TCTAACGTCGAAGATAGTGGTTACTGTTCAAGATGCGGAGTCGCACTTTGATCTCGACTCCTTCAACGACCTCTATGCCAAAACGAAACCAACTCTCTATATCAAAATGTCGGATATTTTCTCGATTCATAAACTTCTCGCCGCAGAGATCTCTAGCATTTGTACCGACCCGGATGATAAGATTAGAGAGGCTATCCGTGATCTGGGAAGCGTCAAAAGCAATGAAAACGAACTCATGAGTGTGAGCTCGTCAGAAATTTGTTTGACATTAACGCCCAAACTACATAATGTTGAAGGTAGGTTTTGGCTTTGCGTATCTATGACTTTGGGGCCGTTGACTTACAGTATGTGATCTAGACCCCGATGCTGAAATCAAGTCACTATTTATGGAAACAAAACGATGTATTCTTTATATCATACGAGTCCAATCTGCGGCCAATCTAATGGAAATCATGGTTAAACCGCCTACCGAAGAAGACATGGAGCGCTGGAATGCGCTTGTTCGGGACGAGTTGTCATCTAGTAGCCGTAAACGTGGGGCGTACTCCGACGCGAACACCCTGATCGACATAGGATCTATGAGTTATCCCGATCTAAAGAGTACAGCATTGGAGAACATTCTTCTCTTAGAGAAAGCAGGGCGTATAACTCGGGAGAACCACTATCAGGACCTTCTCAACGCTATCGCGGTCGATATTCGGACAAAGCATCGCCGGAGAGTCGAGCGTCAACGAGAATTGGAAAGTGTCCGCCTGACGCTTGAGCGACTCAACGACCAAGCGGTATACTTGGAGCAGCAGTTGAAAACTTACAATGACTACATCGAACAAGCCATGATAACACTTCAGAACAAGAAAGGGAAGAAACGTTTCCTGATGCCATTTACCAAGCAGTGGGATCATGAACGTGAGCTGCAGCGGTCCGGCCGTGCCTTCAAGTTCGGCTCGTTTAAATATTCAGCCCGAAATCTTTCTGAAAAGGGCGTCCTTTTATATTGGAAGGGATACAACGAGCGACAGTGGGATCGGGTCGATCTTACGATTTCCAGCAATGAAGTTGGCGTTTTCACAATTGATGGGAGTAGCGGCAACATGATGATTTCTGGAGCAAACGCGCAAGTTCCGCTTGATGACCTGCTCCAGGCGCAGTTCAACAATACGCAGTTCATGGACTTTTTTGAGGGACAATTGCGAGTGAATGTCAACCTGTTCTTGCATCTGATTATGAGGAAATTCTATAACGATTAAAATAGTTTAATGTGTATTCTTTTCTTTGTATTCGTTTCTCCCGTTTTCTCTTTCCTTTCTTTTTCCGTTTATATTATATAGAGATACCATGGACGATGTTTTACAAAGCAGCGAAATGATATGATAACGATGGTTGGTTTGAAGGTGTTATTGAGGCTCCTTTTATCTTAGTTTACCCCCCCCCCCCCCCCTCTCTTTATTTATTTATTTATTTATTTATTTTTTTTTGTTATCAATTTTTAGTTTTTTAAACTCTGCAGTCGATTCCTTTTCCACACTAAATATTTGCCCCTTGATTCGGTTATGTCCTGAATATTTATGTCCCTCTTCTCTGCTACCTCCAAATCATGATCTTCAGGAAGTCGTGAAACTGGCCGGAGGAAGTGGGCTAATCCAGAGTTTGAAATTTCGAGCCATCGGCGTCTATTATTGTCTTTTGTGACTATGTTTCCACTGTGTTCCTCCCTTGTTCCCTGTCGCTCGTTATTAATTCTCGGGGCACCCTGTTGCTCGTTTGGTATCTTGCAGCATTTTATTGATCATACACCGCCTCAGCTAGCCGGTCTGCTTGTTTCATTCCCCCTTTTTCTTCTTTTACAGGCGATTGGGGCGGGATTGCCAGTTTCCCTTGATGAATTCTATTTTTACGTTCGGTCCCTTTCCCTTATCATTCTCTGCTTCTAAATGTATCTAGTAGTTAGTTATGGTTCTCGGGGAATACTAATGAAAGAGAACATGTTGAAGTTGTGAATAATTGACTCTTTATTTTTATGTGATGTTGGCAAATGATTTTCCTACGTAGCTTACCGTGAAGGTTTGAGATGACCTGTTGTTTTGCGCAAAATTCAATGTCAGGTTGTGTTTTATCAACCAACGGCCAGATGGATGCCCCAGTTCCTGAAGTGAGAATGACTGTGGAGTTTTCTACGAGCATTCAGCAATACTCCGGACTTGCCCATTAATCCTCCCAATCTTTTTTCTTGGGATCCCAATAGTATTCGAACTGCCTTGTCCTGTCTTAAAGGTTGTCTTCAATCGGACTCGCTTCTCCTTTCTTACCTTCCGTCCCATACACTCAGCCAGCTGAAGTTCAGCCCAACGCTATGAAGTAGTCACTGGCCGTTTTCAGACTTCGGAGTACTCCGTACGCAGCATTACATCTACACCCCTTATCACTCGTCATTATAGGTAGTGTCGCTGGCAATGCTGCCTCTACCATTTTGTGTAATAGCTGATAACCGTCTGGGCGAGACTGGTGCCTTTTGCCAGCATGTCTCGGGCTACATTTCCAATTTTCAGCTTTTTCTACTTGCTTTTGAGACAGCTGTGTGATCAGCATGGTTTCACAAAGGAAAAACAAACGTTTGTGAGAGCGCGAGAGGATAATGATGATAGCGATAGTAATACGCGTAAATTATTGCGCACACGGTGACCTTCTTATCTATTGTATAAAATTTTAATGTGAGCATTCAATATAGTGTTGGTTACTATATATGCAAGAGTGCAGACGTCTATTTCAAACTTGTTCGCTCTCCATTCCTCAGCTTCCCCTCTTCCTATTACGATGCCTTCAAATTTCAGACGATGTGCAAAATTGGTCCATGAGTGCAAGGAAAAACCGGAAAATATCATCCGTCCACAATGGGGGTTGATCTCGCAGATATTGAGACCGGTTCAGCCGCGAAGGACCCAAGTCTGAGAGATAACACGAAACAAGCGCCGGCAGAGGGCATCGATGTTGACCAGGGGTTCATTACGAAACTGCAAAGTTTTACTGAAAGATATGGAGTTGAGCAGAGGGGAATCGAGCCTGTGCTTGAGCATGAAAGGACGGACACCACGGCGTTGAAATTGGGTACACTGGTATGCACAATTTCCACTTGACCTCGAATGGGCCGTTCATGAATGATTTCTTTGATCATAGCGCAACGGATCATGTTTTCAAATTAACAACGATGGGAATTGCTGCCCTTCTCTGCACATAGTGGTTTTCGTGTAACCTGGTCGTTAGCTCATTTGCAATTGGGGTTCTCGCGGTGCCGGCTTTCGCATTGGGGTTTGTTGACGGCTTTCTCGTTATCCTCCTTTTCAACATCCTTGGAGGTTTGCCGGTGTGTTTCTTTTCGACACTTGGGCCCAAGTTCGGGATGAGACAATTGGTTCTTTCGCGATTCTATTTTGGATATTATGGAGTGAAAATGGGTCTGCTTCTATTTCTCATATTCGTCGATTCACTTTTGCTTCCGAAGGGATAGAGAAGAAACACTAACAGGAGCCATCAGCTGCCTTTCTCAACGCCCTGGGATGTCTGGGTTGGTCGTCTGTCAATGTCATTGTGGGAGCGCAACTCATCCGAGCGGTTGACAACAACGTCCCCAGCTGGGCGGCAATTACCATAATCGGCGCTGCCACATTTGTCGTAACCCTCTTCGGCTACAGGGCCGTCCACACATATGAGCTATACTGCTGGATCCCGGTATTCATAGTATTTGTGATTACCCTGGGAATCTTTGCGCACTCGGGTGATTTCGAGAATCTTCCGCTCAAAACAGGCATTCCTGAAATTGCACCAGTCCTATCGTTTGGCTCTGCCGTATTCGGCTTCATAACTGGCTGGACCTGTCTGGCCGCTGACTACTGCGTGTATCAGCCGGCAACCGTTAGCCGAAAGAAGATCTTCCTTGTCGTATTCTTCGGTCTGGTCCCTTCCCTCGTATTCACAGAAGCTCTGGGTTTGGCCATTGTCACCGCTACCGTGAATAATCCGGAGTATGCGGCAGCCTACCGCGACAACCACGTTGGTGGCTTGCTTGCACATGTTTTGTTCCCTAGCCTAGGAGGATTTGGTAGATTCTGCTTGGTCATCCTAGCTCTGAGTATTGTTGGCAACAATTCCCCGAATATCTATTCGTTTGGGTTCAGTCTCCAAATTCTCCATTCACAGACCCAGCGTGTGCCTCGTTATGTCTGGTCATTTATTGGAAGTTTGATATATGTTGGAGTTGCAATCCCAGGCTTCCTTCATTTCGAATCTGTATTGGAGGGTTTTATGTTGATCACTGTATGATTCATCTCGACCCCTGGTTTCTCTCTTCATTTGATATTGAAAATGGATCCCATACTTACGTCTGACTTTCCAACTTCGACAGGGGTACTGGCTGGCCATCTATGAAGCCATCTCTCTGGGAGAACACATTGTGTTCAGAAGGGGAACGAGCGGCTACAACGTAGAAGATTACGACACGCCTTCGAAGCTTCCTCCATCATTTGCCGCGTTTGGAGCTTTCTGCTGTGGTGTTGGGGGTGTTGTTGTTGGGATGTCGCAGAGATGGCTCGTTGGGCCCATTGCCAAAAAGATAAGCACGTCCGGGGGGGATATTGGATTTGAACTGGCATTTGGGTTTACACTTGTCTCTTTTATGGTGTTTCGGACAGCGGAAAGGAGTTATTTCAAGCGGTAACAGGAAGTTCTGTTTTTAAGTTTTGCATTGTCATCATAGCTATTAACTATATACCCGTCGGTCACAGGTGTGTGGGTGTTAAGTTTTGTGTTCGACATTGGATTCTCCCGTTTCCCCCCAGTAACAACTGTTTGATATAATGTTGATGGAAGCGAAGGCTAGATGCCCATTCTACTACCGAAGGTTGATTATCATCTCCACTATTCGAAACGTGCAATAAATCACGAGTGTGGGCGAAATAGCTGAAAAAAAGGGAATAAAATTGTAATTAAAAAAAAACTGCTTTGAATGTCGACCGGCGCAGGACTCGAACCTGCAATCTTCCGCAGACAGGACGTGGAACCGGAAACGGATGCGTTAGCCATTACGCCAGCCGGCCGGCAAGATCTGGGACCGAAGATAGCAGTACAGTTATAGGTGTTTAAAACTTTGACAGTAAGCCACCCAAAAATGTGGTCTGAGCGTGTAACGGGCTAACGCCCTAACCTTTACGTAACCAAACACCGGACTATCTTTCTTCCGCTCTGACTAGTATATTTCTACTTTCCTTTCTATAAGGAAGGGCTAGAGCTTTAGTAGCACATTCATTTCATTACGAATTTATTCTCTTTATCTTATAAGGCCCAAGTGCCTGCATTCTATAAGGCACAGCAGACAATGACTGGTGGCTCCATAATTTTGTCCTTTTGTGTATGTCTGTGCATAGATGAAGGAGTCATTCCTAGCAGTAGTTTGTGTTTTGTGGCAGACCCTCTTCCTGATCTTCTTCCTATATATATTGTCAGCCTCTATCAGGTCAGGGAAAGCAAGCAATGTGTCCCTGTGGAGACGAACAAGCAGCTGTCCAAAGCTTTTAACAACTTCAGTTTCAAACTCAAACCGGCTACGTCCGTTCTTTCCAATGTATATGTCATTGCGATAAACAATTGCAACATCACCATCAATCCAGATAACTCTCTCAAGATGGCTAGGAATAATGATAATGTTCTTCGGGAAGGGATCATTATGCTTAATCAAAGCTGAGTGAACTTGCTGAATGTCGATGACAGTTCTGTGCATACGCTCTTTTGAATAAGTAACACAGTTCATTACCAAAGGCTTTGGCAGGTACTCAATAAGAATGGCTGATGGAAGACCTGCATCATGTCGAAATGCATCCAGATGAGGGGTACAGTTGGCAGTGTCAATAGCTAGCATAAAGCCATAGAAATTAGGCACAGTGTCATAATCACATATTTTGAACCGTTTAAGGCTGCAATATGCTCTGATCTGCAGCGAGAGCGGTCCAAATCTCGAATACGATCGCGGGCGTACCCAGGATCCCCGTTATGGTGAAACTGCAGCGCAACAGAGTCATGAAAAATAACACAGGTTAGGGAGGAAAATGAAAGTAAATACCACCTTCAAGACCCGTAGCTTGACCCATTAGTTGACACGAAATATAGAGGATGCTTCTGATACATTCAGGGGTTTCCTGAAACTCCGTCTTCTCGAAGTTGATGTCAATGGTTAATCACGTGATATACTAACCTATTGCACCCTAACGGCTCCACCCAGCCTAGAGTGGGGCCGAGAATACTACGGATCTGCAGAAAACCATGGTCCCGTTTTGATGTCAAAGATGCTGCCTCCCTACTGAGAAACCAGCATTTTTGACTGGTTCGAAAAGGTGGTATTGTATACGAGAGCAAACGATGGACTAGCGGCGGTCGGAGGTGGAACCCCTCGAGCTAGCGGGTCAAAAAAATATCCAGAGGGTCGCAAGGAATATTGGCAACAGTACCTTCACCAGCATCGCCGACATGTGCCGCGGCATGCCCTTTGACAATAAGCGCTACGACTTCAAAAGCCAACCCCCCAGTGCGGCCTCCTCATAAGCTGCTGGTGATAGTGAGGCTGATGCAACTGCGACAGAAGCGGTGAAGGGTGAGAAGGTGGTGATGGTGACGTTGCTGTCGCTGCCTCTGCTGCTTCTGAATAGTTAGCTGTGCCGACTGGCACTGATCATGCATCTCAGCCGCTCGCTGAGCTCCGTAGCACAGGTATCAATCAAAAGGATTAAGTGAAGCGGCATGCATGCGGATGGTTTTGAGGATATATTATCTGGGTTCCCCCAATATTTGAGTGTGCCAAAACCTCTTTGCAGAACTATACGAGATATCCAAAAGGTTCTGCCATGGATGAGGCCCATCCGCAATATGTTAGTGTCCCACTTGATATCGTCGTAATCTTGCATTGGAAGCTGTTGTGCATCCCCAGCGGTGCCCCCAAAAGACGGGCACCACCTATATAGAGGTCTCAAATTGATCTCAACCAACCTTCCATCTTCATCAAAGCAAAACCCTGCCAGGGTTAGACCAAAGGATGGTCATGCGATATCCACTATTTCTCGCGCGAAGTTACCCACGTAGTCAGTTTTGCCACTTGTAGATTTCATAGAATATTAATAAACCAGCAAGGGAGTTAGATTTTTTAAACAAAACCTGAGGCCACTTTTGAGAGCTCCAATTGTTATTTCGTCCTGTCTATCCAAGATGTCGGCTCATACAGAGCAAATCGTCGTGGAGCTTGGTAGCATCCCCAATCAACTTGCTCACTTCATCAAGGCCTACGCTGGCGAATACATCGAGTGAGCTGATCCCCTCATGCTATAGTACTTCTAAACATTGCCTAACATTCTCAGGATGGAAGAAATATGTGTTTGTCTTGGTTGTGACCCCGAGCTGAACTCTCACATCCACCGCACCTTCTTCTCACATTCAATCCTCTCCATCATTTCAGCCACTTCAACCTTTTTATTTATATCAAGCCCGCTTGAATTATTTTTCTGGTCTTTCCCCAATGAAAAGACAGTCAAGCTCAGGAGTTAGTCGGAAGTCTCCCTACGTGATTGCGTAATAGCCAAGAACCACTTTGATTTGTTGACTGTTCGCTATGAGCTGTGGATTCTCCGATACTGTCTTGATGGGGATGGTGTATATGCCTTCTTGTAACGATCAACGGCTCCGTTATCGCGAACCACCACAGAGTAAAGCCCCATTCCTCAAAACCTGTTAGCAATGTATATGCAGTTGTAATATTGCTACTTACTACGGGCGACCCATACCCTTGAGCAAGGGCAAAACGTGAGGCTCAATCTTCCACTCTGAATATCTCCGGTTAGTTAGTTACCCTTTGCGTCAACTGAGAAGCCCTGCAACTGCTGTGCTTGAGAGATCCACTCTTCCAGTGCGTTCCGATACTTGTCCGCATCCTCATTAAAATCCGTCTAATAAAAAGGTGCCTTAGGGCTGAGATGGATCATGCTTAGTTCACGCTAACCAATCAAGAACTAACAACAACCCACGAGAGCAAAACCTTAACGGGGGCTCGGAAAAACCTTATCTCCTGTTGAGTCCTTTTGGCCTGAGGCTCTCCACAGGGAAGGGCATATCCAACCAACGTCAACTTCAACTTTCAACTTCCGACGTGTTCCCTCTCTCTTCTCCTGCCACAACCAACTTCCCCTGTGCAGGGACTTTGCTGTGCCCGCATCTAGTTGCGTTTACCATATACGGAATATAAACATCGTACAACGCATAAGTCTACCAGCCGTCTTTGGATTGAGCCACGCTCCTTGGCCCATCGCCCTCGAATTGTACTTTTAGTTCTTCCCCCTCTCCCCTGTCCCCGAATTCCCGAAGGCGCACCGCCACACATACATACAATGGATTTCAACTCCTTAAAGGACCAGGTCACCAATTTGACGCTATATGACCTCAAGGCTGGTGTCAGAAAAGTGCAAAATGGTTTGTTTTTTGCTTCTTTTCCTTCTGCTTTTGTTGGTCAGCGTGGGTCAGCTTGGCTATGTATCGGCTGCCGTCGGATTTGCCTCTGTACTACCTTGACATTTAATGAACTATTTTGGCTAATTATTCACACGGCTTTGGATTTTGATTAGCTGTGATGAACTATACTGAGATGGAGGCGAAGGTCAGTATTTGGTCAAGTTACTTCAGATTCCGTGACTATGCACCTTGTCATGTCTAGCTCACTAGAATTTGATGTCGTTTCCTTACTCAAATGGGCACAGGTTCGAGAAGCTACAAATAATGAACCTTGGGGCGCCTCTTCTACCCTTATGCAGGAGATTGCAAATGCAACCCATAACTAGTAGGTTTTCACTCACCCCCTTGATATGTTCTCTAGCGGACTTCGCGATTAACCACATCCATGTGATGTCACAGTCAATTGCTTAATGAAATTATGCCAATGATATACAAACGTTTTACGGAGAAGACTGCAGAGGAATGGCGACAAATTTATAAGGTATGTGATTGAGATCAGACTTTGAGGTGTCGGGCTTGGATATGTCTAACAAGTTCTGTTATTTCCAGGCACTCCAACTCCTTGAATTTCTTATTAAAAATGGCTCAGAAAGGGTCGTTGACGATGCTCGTTCCCACGTTTCTCTCCTCCGAATGCTACGCCAATTTCACTACATCGATCAGAATGGGAAAGATCAAGGCGTAAACGTGCGCAACCGCTCCCAAGAGTTGGCAAAACTTTTGAGCGACGTCGACGCCATTCGTGCGGAGAGAAAGAAGGCAAGAGCTAATCGGAATAAATTTGGAGGAATTGAAGGTGGTATGACTCTAAGTTCGTTTGGAGGAGGTTCTCGATATGGTGGGTTTGGGAGTGAGGACGCATCATACGGCGGTTATAGCGGAGGGGTATATGGGGATGGGGGCGGATTTGGAGGTAGAACTAGTGGGGGGTATGAAGACAGCGGGAGGAGGAGTAATCGTTTTGAAGAATACGACGAGGGCGATGATATCTCTCCGGCACCATCTACCCAGCGCAGGGTGAACACGACCTCTACAACATCTGCTAGACAAGAGTCCAAAAAACCTGAGCCGTCCAAGAAACCGGAGTTGGACTTGTTCTCTGACAACAGTGAAGATCTTGCCGCCGCTCCATCAATTTCTGCACCCTCAAACATGCTCTCCAGCATCTCTGGAAACCAAACAGCTGGAGGTCGGAAAAACACCCTCGTCACCCAAAACATTGCAGACGATGATGATTTTGATGATTTCCAGTCTGCTCCCTCCTCTGCCCAGGCTGCCCCATCCCAACAGCAATTCTCCTCCGTTCTCCCTCCAACCCTGGCTCCATCGACTACACCAAGAACCACTCAATATGCAGCTCCACGGCCCGTGTCCGGCGTTCAGAACGCCAATCTAAACGGGCTTGTCGATTTCACCTCACCATCCCCAAGTAATATTTCCACAACATCTACCCAACCAATCAGTCTGAGTGGTGGTATATCAGCAGCTTCTATTCAGTCACAGCCACCAAAGCCAGAAGGCTACCAAGCTCCACAACCAAATTACTTCACCTCTGTCCCAGCACCACAACCAGCCTCCCAAAATCAAGCTAAAACCCCCCTATCATCTCTCGCCTCTTCACTCTCCGGCAGCAAGTCGGCTACCAACCCAGCTGCCACGAAAGCGAAATCAGGCGGTGATGCATTTGGCAGCCTCTGGTCTACCGCCAGTAGCAACGCCGGTCTTAAGTCTACGTCCACACAACAGTCCAAGGGCCCTAATCTCGCCAGCATGGCGAAGGAGAAGACTAGTGCAAGCTTATGGGGAGCTCCTAGTGCTATTTCTGCGAGTTCTACTCCGAGCCTGAGAAACAGCATGTCGCAGGGCACGAAACCGCAGAGCAACAGTAGTGGGTTCAATGATCTGTTGGGTTGAGATGGGTTTTTTTTGGATATGGAATGGAGACAGAGAGGGGTGAGACATTGCTAGAAGTGGAGGGTTAATGGTGGTGTTAGAGAAAGAAGGAGGAGGAGGAGGAGGACGAGGACGAGGAGGACAGGGTGTAATTAGAAGAGAACAGAACGAATATTGGAAGATGTGGACGATTGATCTTAAGAAGAGCAACAAAAGACTGAGAACGAACGGAGCAACGGTTTTCATCTCTTCATTTTCTTTTTCACTTCTTTTAGTTCTGTTTTTACTTAATATATTTAGTTTTGGATTTTAGCAGCAAGCAGTTGACATAGGTACCAATTCAGACATCTCCTTTGGATTCACAAATCACATATTCATGTGTCGTATTTTTGACTTTGAGACTTACATTCGCTTGCTCCGCTTCTCCTATTCAACCCAAACTGCTAGGTGTCCAAGCTAGAGTTACCTATTTCGAGGAAACTGGTAACTAAATATGATCATCTTCCGACGCAGAAGAGAAGTGACCGGCATTTTATTTTAGAATACGATCGCTTATTCCCGTTTAAATCCCCATTTATCCCAAAATTCGATTCCCCATTTTGCGTGTTCCATAGTATATTGGGATTGAGATGGGGATTTGGTTTTTCTCCTATGAGAGTCGGAATGGGAATGAAGTGTGGACAGAAAGGTAAATATATTTTTGAAGTTGACATGATTTTTTTTCCCTCTCGATCTTGAAGAGGCTAGGATGCCTACGACGTGAGTGTTACATGACATGGATGAGCTTTGGCAAGAAGGGAAAAGGTGAGAAGATTAAAACAAGACAAACCTTTCCCCCCCCCCTTTTCCCCTCCCAAAAAAAAAAAAAAAAAAAAAAAAAAAAAAAAAAGTGGATGCTAAATAGCTGCTTAGTTACCTAGATAGCTAGATAATCTAATTGAGCCCTATTCACGACAGGGAATAAGAGCGCTCACTTGATTATTTGTTCATCCTAAGACGATGTTGCGAGGAAACGCGGGGAAAAGTAAGATGTAATGATTTGGTTCATAGAACACGTCAATGGGGAAAGAGGCCTCAAAAACAAGCAGGATAATGGGTAAATATTTGGAACCAGAGAAAAAAGAAGTAAAAAAGTAAAAAACATACCATACACAACAAACGCCTTGTGAAAAATTTCCGAGGACGATTGGCCTGCACACGACGGATACCAAATGGGAAAATGAACACAAAGAGACCGAATGGTTAGCCTACAAAGGGAAATAAAGCAAAACAAAAAAAAATAAAATAAAATAAAATAAAGCAAGATGCAAGTTAAAAGGCCAGAGGCCAAAATGCAAAGCGCAAAGAATCAACAAGACTCCCTCCCTCCCACCATCCAATTTTCCTCAAGCAGCAAGAAGAAACAAAACACAACAAAAAATTGGAAAAGGGAAGAAAGATTGACACCGTCAGAGCGATCGATAAATCACCACGACATTTTGTCATTTAACCCGTTTTCCCCTCCCCTGACCGCGTCCTCTGCTTATTATTAGGGAGACTGTTCGGGCGCACGGATGATTCCCACAACCCAGACGCCATCAAGTTCAGGTTTCCCGCGCCTGTGCCTGTGCCTGTTCCGTTCCCTATGCCACCGCCATCGTAATGCTCAATTTGTGGTGGTGTTGATTTCCGATGCTGATGTCCTGCTAGTGGGTAAGGATCTAGATCGCGACTGCTCGTGGAGAAAGTTGAGAGGATGGCAGGGTTTTGCTTCTTTTCGCGGGTGTGGTCTTTGTGATTGCCATTACGACTATTCTCTGCGTCCTGTTCGTGGGGTTTGTCTTTTGTGTTAATATTTGAGGGTGAGGCGGTACATTTGAATTGGTGATGATTACTATTATTGTTCTTGTTGGTGGTGGTGGTGGTGGGTGTGTTGGTGTTCTCGTCGGTATCGTTAGGAGGTATATTGCCGTTACTCTGTTGTTGCTGCGCAGACTGGTCGGATGAGGTGTCACGGGCCGGTAGTTCATTGTGGTTTTCACACTGAGTTGGCGTAGATTCTGAATCCGGAGAGGGGGTTTCTCCTCCCACTGTCAAGGAACCAGAAAGCGCACCGTTCAACCCATTAAGGCCCCCCTCGATATCCCGAACTAAACGAACGAATTCCTCCGGCACAAGTCCACTCTCTCCCGTCTTAGGGTCCTCAGCAACGAGCCAGCCTTGCCCATGGCGATAGGACACCAATATAACCTGTCCCTCCTTGAGCGGGAGCTCATTCTCATGTTCGCGATCGAAGTCGAAAAGCGCAACGGCTTTGCCGTGCATTTCTTCATCAGGCGACACGATTGTGAATTGGTAATCTCGTGAATAGCGCGAGGAATCTCTCCACGCCTCATCATCTTCCGAAATGTCGTCGTCGGATTGTAGTTCCATATCTGGTTCGAGGGTTTGTCTGCCTTGGAATGACGCGGCGAAATGGGAGTCTCTGCGTCGACCAAGTTGACTATGTGAGTTCGGGCTCAGGTATGATGGTCCACCAACGCTATCTCTAGCTGGGTATGTAACATATTCCCCTCCTGGTCCGTCTTCAACGGCATCATGATCTTTGACATAGTATGTCGTGCTCCCGTCGCCGTTTACCCCAACAAGAATACCTCTCTCATCACCTTGAGCGGAATAAGATGAATTGCCATTTTTAGCAGCGGGACTTCTTCCTCTGTGGTATTCGGACCCTGCAAATGCAGATTTATGTTTGCGGTGTCGGGTTGTTGTCACGACGGGGCTGTGCAAGTCTTCATCTTCACTATAGGGAGGTCCATCTCCAAACGTCATTGCAGGGAGTTGTTGATTGCTATACATAGCCTCTGGATTCCATGACGCGGAAGGCCAATGACCGCGTGCGCCATCCCATGAGGGTCCGGCGGGGTCGGATAACCGTCGAGCTTCGCTCACCGGAGTAGAGATGCCTGACTCAATTGAGGGTGACCCGTAATGGAGAGGATGGATGGGTGGGTAGGCAAAGTCTCGTACCAAGGCATAAGGCAGACTTGAATGGAAAACTGGAAAAGCGTGCGATGCGGGACGTGAGCAATTTTGAGAGGTGAAGGAGGTGGAGGAGTATGTTGACAAGCGATTCTTTGCAAATGATGATGGCCGTTGAATATTTGACCGTCTTGAGGCCGGTGATGTTGTGAGTGATGGAATAGGAGAAATGGTCGGGATTGAGGAGAATTTGTTAACCTCAGAGGGAGAAGAGGCGGGAGGGGGTATCGTCGTAGACATTGAGACACTGGATGGGGAACACGGGATGGTTCCAATCCCCATGTGTTTGTGTTTGCGCGAATGTTTTAAGTTGTGCTATTTTGTATGGATTATTATTCCGTCAAACGTCAATCGCTTATTCAATACGTTAAGCCCGTAAAAGTATTCGTGAATGATTTCCTCCACAGTCCTAGCTGTCCATATTCATATATAGGACATCAAGTGACCCCAGCAAATATGTCAACGTGCAGAGTATCCCACAAACGAGAGAGTAACCAGGCCGTCGTGGAGAAAGAGATAGCACCTGGATTTGTAAGAGCAACTATTACAAAAATTTTGTCCCCGCACACGTTGCGATTGCTCATTTACGTCCGTCGTAGGGGGGGGAGGAAGGAGTTTGATTAATGTGGAATGCGATACGCCTGAATAAAGGAACTCGCCCAATAAGAGATCCAGCGTGACAAGAATGTTTCGAAACAGTTATGGGAGTCACAAGTAGCAAGTCGACAGGGTGTGCAGGAGATCGAAGGCTTATGTGCTGACTGGAGCAGGC